TGGTGGGCCGTAGGGTGTGCTCCCTGGTGCTGAGTAGCGTGGTCTCCATTCGGAAGGCAGGATGGGCTTGGTGTTCCACAGGAGAATGCCTGGGGAGGTTTGCACAGGCTGCAGCGGAAGGCAAGTATGGAGTATGAGGCTGGAAGCATGGGGGGGTGGGGGCAGAGCCCAATCCAGTTGCTCATTTCAGAGGCTTCACAGTATCTACTACCTATTTTGTAATGTGCAGATAGTGGAGAAATTGTGTTTGTACTGTAAATTCTGTTTTATTGAGAATATTTGGAGTATTTTGCTAATCTGATTTAATTCTGTACCTTCTTTTGTAAAAGCTATAAATATCCTCTGAAAACTGGCCTTCCTCAGCCTCTCCATCAACTACTTCACAGCATTTTGAACATTTCTAGCCCAGCGAATTAAAACTGGACCAGTTTCTGTTGTTTTTCAATCCTTTCTTTTCTTAAAACATTAAAACAAATCTTTTTTTTTTGCTTAGAAAAAATGCTGGAAATGGTGAAAATTGCAAGCCTGAGTCTACATAGTACTTCCTTTTTATACTATTTGAGAAGCACTCAACATATTATTGGAATTAATAAGGTTATTTGAAACAGTTTCACAAATAGAGTTTTAGAAAAGCTCTATAATACTGAGATTTTAAATTAATGTTCATTAAATTGTGTCAGAGTTAATGTTGAATAACAGATATGTTGTTTGTAGGTGTATAAAAGTATTATTTTAATGGAGAGGTGCTGTGTGGAAAAATTGCATGTCAAAATAGTAAGATTGTCTCTCTGTTTCTAGTTTGTTTTCTTTAGACTGGTAGTCATTAATATAATGGCTTCTGGTTTAAATTTTATTAATTTTTAGTTTTATTTTCTTTGGATTAGAGAAGATACCTTTAAATAAAGATACTTTTAAATACCTTTAAATTAGAGAAGATACCTTCATTTAAAAATGAAGTTTTCTTTTTGGTTAAGTAAATGGTTAGTTTTGTCAGTGTTTCTTGGACACTTTGAGGAGTTGTATTCTTTGAAATGTTCAAAGTTTATATCACCTTATTTATGAATTAAGTTAAAAATGACTGGGTTAAAACCTGTATGACCATCTTTGTTTCAATAACAGGTTTTGCTTGATACTGTATGTTATTCAGACCATACAGACTCAATTCATATTGGGTCTTTACTCTTTTTTAAATTTTTTTGTAAAGATTTTATTTATTTGACAGAGAGAGAGACAGTGAGAGAGGAAACACAAGCAGGGGCAGTGGGAGAGGTAGAAGCAGGCCTCCCGCTGAGCAGGGAGCCCGACGCGGGGCTCCATCCCAGGATCCTGGGATCATGACCTGAGCCGAACGCAGATGCTTAACAAGTTGGCCACCCAGGCGCCCCTGGGTCTTTACTCTTTTTTTTTTTTTTTTAAGATTTTATTTATTTATTTGACAGAGAGAGAGACAGCGAGAGAGGGAACACAAGCAGGGAGAGTGGGAGAGGGAGAAGCAGG